GTATTGCCTAATTTAAGATCACCAGTTTTTACACATTGACGATGATTGCTAGTCCCTAGCATCGTCTATTGGTTCTCTGTGTAATTACAGCTGATCTGGCAGTAACAGAGTAGCAACCGTGGGTGGTCAATCAAGCTCAAGCTCAAGCTCAAGCTCAAGCTCAAGCAAGCTAATTGTGTCACCGACAAACCGACATGAATGATCATATTACAAAGAAATTTCTGATCAAAGACTGACATCTGCCGCCGTGTTCGCTGAAAATATTTATCCTAGCCAAGAACACGCGTACAACATTTATGAGTTGGTTTGTGTCTAATCTATTTCGGACAAATTATTTTTATCTAGATAAAACATTTCTATGGTTTTGACAGATGGGATCGCTGCACATAAGATTCGGCCGTTAGGGATTCTCGATCAAGAGTTAAGTTTAAGTTTGATGTCGGTTTGTCGGTGATTATGTGGCAAGTACATTCTTACTCTATGCCCAGGAAAGTCGAGAAATTTTCCAACCCAAAAAATGCCTATACCGGACTGGAAATCGAACCCAACCATCTCCAGCATGGCATTGCTTTGTAGCTGCGCCTTAACCGAATGAGCTAAGGGAGGCCCCAAAGTGGATGGCCTCCTATACCTGATAGATTAATTTCTTGATCTTGATACGAGGATTTCAAAATTCCCTGAGAATTCCAGGATTTTCCAGGAGTAATAAAGTTATATGAGGATTCCCGGCTTTTCAAATTTTTCAAGGTTGATATATGCCTTGTCAAGATCACCAGAAAGAATCGAACACCAAAAACCTAACTACGTCTCAAAAATGTCACATCAAAGCTCCCAGCCTGTAGTGGTTCGAGGCAATAAGTCACGTTGCAGCACCAACAACAAAGCCGGCAAAATTGGATCATTTCAGCAGCGAAAAAGCGACCCATTCGTTCTGGGCAAACAAAACATGTAGATATTCACGGCAAAAGCGCAATGAATCAAGTACCTCGTTTTGACATTTCACTGATAGTGGAGCGCGGCGCGTTCGCTGCTCAACATTTTCTGAGCCTTGTTTGAACGTCTATTTTCCCTTTAAGCATTTCCAAATAGACATAGTTGTGCTTTTCTGCGCCTCCGGGCGCGTTCGCAACCAATTCGCAGCCCCTCGGTTCGACTCACAAAACTGATTAGAAAACCAAATAAATTCGTTTACTAAAATCCCCCCCATATCAGTTATGCAGCTGCACACTGCAGCACCTCAGCAGCAGCAACAGCGCTTGTGTTCGGCAACAGCACACTATCAAAGCAAGCTCAGCCAGCAGACGAAAATTACTAAGCAACGACCGCGCTCTAAGCCTACCGAACTAGGCAGAGGTATCCTACGTAAGCAGGCCATGAATTGGAAACTCTGGTTTTTTTTTTGTATTTGCGTTTTTGAAATGGAAAAATCAAGGCCTACTGCACACGCGTTGCAACCGAATGACGTTTGGGGACAACAACAGCAAAAAAAAACAACGACTACGAAATAGTAAAATGCTTCTATTTTGCAGCCACACACACGCACACACACTCACTCATGCTGACGGTTGACGGATGATTTTGGTCAAACGGTATCGTGGTTGGTGCGCGCCGGCTGAGCGGTACCTTCTAATTCGTCTCCTCTAGTTGACAGTTTTGGAGACGGACGCGGAGGCAGTAACGGGCGATGGGGGTGGGGGAGTAACTTTGAACACGCGAACTTCATTTTGCTTGAGCGCACTACTAACTGGCTGTCGTCGTTGTCGAAGTGTGCAGCATTCTAAATTGTTCGGTGCAATGCACAATTCATATACATATTGACAAAAACCGTCTGACAGCGCCACATCGTCACTCACCTAAATTAATTTAATTGAAAATTATCGTTTGCGAGCACAAACCGTCGAATTTATGTGTGCGTTGGCGAAGGTGGTGCTGCTGGTGGTGGGTGGAGTACGGAGTGTCAATCGGTATTCGTTCCGTGTTTTCGTGTCTTTTGTTTGGATGCACTCAGTGGAGAGTTTGGCTAAACTATGGCCTAGACAAAGCGCAGTTATGAAGAGAAACTAGTGCGAGGGGATGACAGTTTTTTTTTTGTTCGGATTAGTTGTTTGTTTTTTGTTTTGTTCAGATCGCGTGATGTGCTTTAGGCGGATGCATTTTGATCGTGCCAACGGTAAAATGTATGTTTTAAGTCCCATTTTTATGATACGTACAATGACTGGTACCGAGGTTTTCCCGAATCGGAGAAATTTTCAGTGGCGTTAGGTGACTTGTATGGTCTCTCAACAAACATTGGAAACAGAATAAGAGCTTATTCTAATAAAATCGAATCTAATATAACACCAACACAGCCAGTTCTTCTCAGCATCCTGGAAACTGATTGATATACCTCCATGATTTTTCTTGTCTATTTGATATATGTTTCACATCGAAGATGCGTCACAAATACAAAAACGGCCTACTGTGAAGCTTTTAAGGGGCAAGATGATTCCGAAAACATCGGGACTGCTTAAATCTTCGAATGATTCGAAGCTTTAGAATCCAATAAGTGGATGAAACGTGGGCATCTCGTACCGTAAGTTCCGTTTTTGGTAATTATATGATTAGTCGATGGAAGCATCTTGGCTAGAAAGTTCTAGTGATGCTCCTATTTCCTCTGACGGTTGGGACATGAGCACTAACTCTTGTCCTAGCCTTTTATGACTTATGTTTATAGCGCCATTACTCGCTTTCTGAAAATATAACAGGGGAAGGAAAAGGAGAAGGACAAAAGGGAAAAGGATTATAGGGGAATTTACGTATTCTCGTCAATCTAAGCAGCGTCCGCACTTCTATTAGCATTTTCACAGCGTCACGCACATATATGACGTGTCTGTTTGTTTCAATTCATCTGCTGCTTGCTTCTCTATCCATTCCTATCGACAGAATTCTTTAAAACTGCTTGAAAGCGTTTTTACAACGCTCTAAACTTCTCAGGTGAGTGTGACTATTGTCGGCAGCCTCTTTTTCTTCGGCAACCTTCCCATTAGAACTGCGTGTTAACCAGCTGTTCTATTATCGGCAACTCGAAATCAGCCCCATTTTGTAGTACGTATGCTTCATTTGAAGAAAAATCTGGCATAACAGGATTGCTCGGTCCTACAAATATAATCAGATTGAAGCTGAAAGACTAAAGAATCGTTTGGATACATTCAGAGAAGTGTGTTGATCGTAAAACATAGTGAAATTAACGTTTAAATTTTGGTTGCCGAAAACAGTCAATGGGTGCCGAAGCCGACATTTACCCTATATGCTCTATGAACATAAACAATATTTTTGATTTGAAACATACAATACAAAAATTCATAACGGAGGTGGTTGTTCCCGTAAGTCGGAACAAACACCGTTCTTTTCAGTTGCTGACTAAGCAGCTTTAAAGCTCTAATTTATTAAATTATATAATTAGGATCAAATTCAAGGTAAGTAAATTAATCTAATCTTACATTTTCGGTATTATTCTTCCTTTTATCTCCTGATCTTCGGTTAACCCAGGAAGGACGAGTTCAAAATAATCTGCAGGCAAGTACAAATCAATTAAGGTCCATTTTAGGTTAACAATTGAATGACAATAGGGTAAGTATAAATTTTCAGGTAACATACCTCGTAATCATTAATTTTCCACTCACTGCGTGGCACTATTATAGCGGACTTTTAATAATTAGCGATCTATATAAAAAATCTATTAAGAATCAATTACTAATAACTAATAAACTCACTTAAAACCTACGGATATTCAATTCACTTAACTAAATTTACAACGATGTCTATGTATTGTTTACTACCTCTGTCATTCCGTTCACTTTATCCGGCATTGGCGTTTCGCTCGCGAGGGTTCGGTCAGTTGGTTCACCAACAACTCGCCGCAACGAGGGGTATCGGCGACATTCCCCGACCCGTGAACCACTTCCGTATCCGCAGCGACTTCTTCTGTCCTCTTGTCGTTGCACTTAACGTCCAGAACTGCTAGCTTCACCGCAGGTCTAGCAAACACTCCCCTAGCTGTCTGCACCGTAGCACGCCTCACCTGCCCGGATTTGTCCAAAAAGGTCTCGTAAATACGTCCACGCTCCCATCGATTCCTCGAATGTTCGTCGACTATCACGACTAGATCGCCAGATTCCAGCGGCTTTACCGCCTCGAACCATTTCGTTCGTCTCGTTAGCATCGAGAGATATTCCCGCACCCATCTGCGCCAGAATTCATCCACGATGTGCTGCGCAAGCTTCCAGCAGTCTCGCAGGATGTTTCCGTTTACAGGATCGGTTGCTGGTTGCTTGATACCGGTTGATCCGTACAGCAGAAAGTGGTTTAGCGTGAGTGCCTCTTCGTCTGGTGCTTCCAAGGGAACGTAGACGGGAATTGACAATAGCTTCCGCATCCAACATGATCGTCTCCAACACCTCGTCGCTCGGATGTCGTGGACTATCCAGAATAGCCTTCATCGCCACCTTCATGGACTTGACCATACGCTCCCATGGTCCTCCCATGTGCGGAGCTGCCGGAACGTTGAAATGCCACTGGGTATTTGCATTTGTGAATGTGGCGGCGCAGTCCTCGATGATGTTCTGGATCCTCTGTTTCTCCTCTGACAACTGGCGATTGGCACCAACAAAGTTTGTGCCATTGTCCGAAAATACCTCCAACGGTGCTCCCCGTCTGGCTACAAATCTCCTGAACGCCATAACGCAGGTGATCGATAAAAGACTGTGGACCAGCTCTAGGTGGACAGCCCGTATAGTGAGACAGGTGAATTGACAGATCCACCATTTCACCACGCTGCGACCAACTTTGACTTCGAAGGGCCCCATGTTATCCACACCGACGTACGTGAACGGCCGAATAAATGGTGTTAGGCGTACCCTCGGCAGTGGCCCCATCAGTGGTGGCACAGGAACTGCTTTCTTGACCTTGCAGTGCTAACAACTTCGGCTAACTTTTCGTACGAGCACCCGAAGGTTGGGTATTTAGAACTCCTGCCGTAGTTCATTACAGACTGTTTCCCCGTTAGCGTGCAGGAACCATTGGTGAAAAGAATCCACCAAAAGGAAAGTGATACGATGATCTCTTGGCAGCACAACGGGATGTTTCGCCGCGTATGGAATGTGCGGTGCGCATCCGATTCGACCTCCTACCCGAACGACTCCGTATTCATCCAAAAATGGAACCAGCGAGTGCAGTGAATTTCGTTTTCCAACGCTGTGACCATTTGTTAGCTCGTGAACCTCCTCCGAATACGCATGCGCTTGAGCCTGGCGCCAAAGTGTCTCCTTTGCTTTCACGAAATCATCTCGATCGAGGCCTGGCCGTCGACTTTCTCCGTACATAGTTTGCTTCCAGATTCTTACCGCACGGTGAACGTTGGCCATCGTTCGGACTAGACGACTCCATCTCGAAAAGCGTTCAACTACAACTACCTCGTCAGCCGTTTGATGTACGGCTACCATACGAAGTTTTTCACTTGCCGCATCCGTTTCGGCCACTACTACTGCTGATTCTCTTGGCAACTGCTCTTTTGTATCTCGTAGGAATTGTGGGCCTTGAAACCAACGGTTATCTGGATCGAACGATGGCCCCGAGTTCCACTTCGTGGCATCGTCAGCCACGTTGAGTTTTGAGGGTACGTAATGCCATTCATCCACATTCGTGAGCGAAAGAATTTCACCAACCCAAAAAGATACGAACTGATGGTATCGGCGGCTGTCCGATCGAAGCCACGCCAGAACAGTAGCTGAGTCCGTCCATAGAAAACGCTTCCGAATGTTGAGAGTGAGCGCCGAACAAACGGTTTGCAGCAAACGTGAGCCCATCATGGCAGCCTGAAGTTCCAGGCGAGGAATTGAGAGCGCTCGAAGTGGTGCGACTTTAGTCTTTGCTGCTACCAACGAACACCAGCTACCTCCGTTGACCGACAATCGCAAGTATACTACGCATGCACATGCTGTGACACTAGCATCCGTGAACACGTGGATTTCTATTTCGTCAACTTCCTCCGGCAGAAGATTTCCGAAAAAGTAACGAGGAACTTCCACTTCATTGATTGTCTCGTATAGTTCGATCCATCTATTCCATAGATCGTGTAGCTGCTCTTCTATGGGCTCGTCCCAGTTGGTACCCGTTCGCCAGATCTCTTGCATTAGGATTTTGCCAACGGAATTGCACTTGTTCGACAAGCTGTACTGCTTCCTCCACCGAGTTGACACTGTCGAGGAAGTCATCCACGTAGTGATTGTTGATGATCGCGTCTACTGCTCTGGGATATAGTTCCGCGTAGTCGAGAGCGTTTTTGTTCTTAACGAACTGCGCCGTGCACGGAGAGCTGGTTGCCCCAAACATCGCTACGTTGATTACGTAGACCTGCACTTCATCCTCTGGACTGCTACGCCATAAGAAGCACAGCGACCACTTGTCTGCCTCCCTTAACAGGATTCTCAGGAACATTTCACGGATATCGGAGCACACCGCAATCTTGCCTTCCCTGAATCGTAGCAAAACTTCCACGAGTGATACGAGAAGATCCGGACCCTTTAGCAGCATGTCGTTGAATGAAACACCACCGACCTTTGCAGCAGCATCGCACACCATTCTGATTTTGTTCGGTTTCTTGGGGTTCGTTACCACCCCTAACGGAAGGAACCAGACTCGCTCAGGGTTCGTTTTCTCCAGCTCTTCCGACGACACCTTACAGACGTACTGCTTCTGTTCATAGCTCTCGATTTGCTCGTTCACTCTTCTGCGCAGCTCTGGATCTTTTGCAACCGTTTCTCCAAACCTCTCAACCTGCTTTTCGCCATTTGAAAGCTATCCGGGAAGTTCACGTTGTTTTTACGCCAGAGCAAACCCGCCTCCATACGAGTTCCTCTCCGTACCGTTGTTGCTTCTAGGATACTGCGTGCTCGTTTGTCCTCCTCGGATTCAAGCTGCTTCGTCAAAACGGCATCCTCAACGGCGAAGAACTTTCGCATTGAATCGTGTAGATCGCTGTTACTCATCTCCTCGCAGGAATGGACGTTCAGCTGTTCAATTGAACCTTCGCTTCCGTTGTTCCTCCCATACACGCACCATCCCAATCGTGTTTTGGTTGCTACTGGTTCTCTGCTATTGCCTTCACGATTCTTCAGACTAGTCAGCAACCGTACGTGCTCAAGTCCGATGATCATGCCCGGTTTGGCGTTGATATAGCTGGCCACGGGAAGCCCCTGCAAATGCGGGAATGTATTTGACAGCTCTGTGTAGTGCAACGTTTGACTTGGAAGTCCTAGCTCGTGCACTGTTCGTATGTTGCTCAGTTGAAAAGTTTCCTTCTTCCCAGCACCGGATATCTTCACGCTCAACCTCTTCGATGTCTTTTCGTGTCTACTGATCTTTCCGGTCCAACTCTGCCACAGGTTGTCTGGTTCACCTTCGATACCTAACTGTGCTGCGATTCCTTCTTCAGCGAACCCCACACGTATCAATATATTGACGCGAAGGGGAATTATTGACTATAATATTGATGATGTGAGTGCAGAAATATTGTCAATACCGATGTATTGACGTCAATATTGAATATATTGACAATACGATTATTGTTTTGGGCAGAGTCCACTCCAATGCTCAGTTCGAAAGCTTGATTCACCAAGGGCGTAGCCAGGTTTCGAGCTAGGGAGGGGCGAAAAAAAAATTACCATGGAAAATTTGGCCGAATGCCATTTCACCGAACGCCATTTCCTCGAAAGCCTTTGTGTTGCCCTGCCCCTATCTGGCTACGCCTATGAGATTCACCAGTCCCGACATGAAGTTGTTGAACGTCGCCAGGTTGACGTGAACGAACGCCTGCTTGAAGGATCCCCACTGCATCTTCAGCGAGGTGGGTAATTTATCGATCAACTCCTGTAGCAGCATCGGATTGATAAATGCGCTTGCTGATCTGTCAGAATAATGTGATCGACGAGATTTTGAATAACAAAGCCGTAAGTGACAATGGTGCTCAAGTTATCCGACTTCGGTGGCGGAGCGTTCCTCACCTTCTTCAGAAGAGAACTTATCAGTATCTCTGGCCTTCCGTAGAGCTTATGCAACGTTTCCATCACGTACGGAACAGATGCGGGTAGGAGCAGACGACTTCTAACTGCCTCCAATGCTGAACTTCCCAAACTACGCTGCAGTCTGGCTAGATTCTCGGCGTCCGTGTATCCGCAGACCGCAGCCGAGTCTTTTCTCTATTAACAAGGCATAGAAAGTAACAAGGACTGACATGTGTTCCTTTGAGTACTGAAAATTCCTGATACCCTAGTTTGCAGGTGTCAGCACTAGGGTTCGGTGATAGATCTTATACCAGTAATGCACCACGAAAAAGTGATCTACCAGCGTTATTCAGGCAAAAATAAGCTTCTTCCGAAAACTCCAGGAACATATTGAAAATTTTACGTTACCTAGTTCCATTAACATCAGAAAAATTACCTTCAAGAATTTTTTTAGAGCTTCATAAAAATTCCAAGAAATTCATGGAAGTTACGAAAACTTCAAGGTTGTTCCAAAATCTACAAGTACGTCTAGAACTAAAAGGAAGTTTTAAGATCCTATCTGTCAGGTTCCACAGAATTCCGGGAAATTTTGAGAAAATTAGTGAAGATCAAAGAGTCGCATGACAGTTCTACACGCTATTTCAAAACTACCCAAATTTTGATAGAATCCACCCAGATCGGTCAAAATTGAACCTACCCAAAATTGGGTAAACTTTGTTGGGAGTAAAAAGTTGACAAATGGACAGCATCGGCATGAATCCGATCGACTTTGTTCATTTGTCAACTTGTCACTCTCAACATAGTTTACCCATTTTTGGGTTGGTTCAGTTTTGACCGATCTGGGTAGATTCTACCCAAATTTGGGTGGCTTTGAAATAGCGTGTATGCGATTCTGGAAAACTGTAGGAAATTTATAGAAGTTCCCAAAACCTCACTTGAGTTTAAAGATCTTAAGGGAAGTTACACGAACGGCGGGGCAATTCTGAGAACTTTATAGTGGAAAATCAGGAAACTTCCAGGGAAGTTCGGAGTGCTTCAGGAAAATATTGAGAATTTTAAGCCACTTCCATTTAATTCATGAAAATAGCGAGAACCTACTAGAAGCTCCAAATATTTAAGACAGTCCAGAGAGCATCAGGGAAGTTTAGAGAACTAAATTAAAAAAAAACGGAGGCATCTCACAAGCTCCCATAAGTCAGGAAAGTACATAAAACATTCTATTTTTAGGAACTTCAATCGCTTTAGAGCAGCTTCCAGAAGTTCAAGACGGTTCCATAAGGAATAGGGGAACTGCACGAACTTTTAAAAGGTCCAAGAACTTCAGGGATTAAGGGCTCTGAATATTCCTTACGTTCTTAGACCTTAGACTTGGACTTAGACCTTCAGGGATATCCAGAGACCTTGAGGGAAGTCAAGAATCTCAGATAAGCTACGGCTAGAGATCTTCAGAAAATCTCAGGGATCTCAAGGGCGGTTCCATTAGTTTCAGCATGAAAGTCAGGACTTTTGAAGAAGTTTGCAGGTGTGTATTGGTTAGTTTCGAAAAACTCAAGACAACTCCATTAATTTCAGGAAAACTTTGAGGAACTTTTGGAAGTTCTGGGAATTTGATCGAAGTTCGGAACTCTTTAGAAGTTAAGTTACAGATGTTCAGGGAAGTTTCAAGCTTTTTATGACAGCTCCATTTACTTCAGGATAGTACCAAAATCTTCAGGAGAATTGCGAGAGCTTCAGACTGGCAACGAGAACATCATGTACAATTAACTTCAAGGAAATTACTTTAAAGAAGGCCCAAGAACGAAAACATTATTAGAGAGCTTTTAAGCCTTAGCTAGGCTGATTCGTCTTCTCAGTTGCGAGATCTTCAGAGAGATCCACAGGACATCAGAGATATTTGGAAATGTTTGGGTAATTATTTTCAGGGATGATCTAAGTCTTTAATGGAAGATCAGAGAACCTCAGAGCAGCACCATTAATTATTTTCTGGCAATACCTGAAAATATATTACTTGAATGTTTTATGACGAGATGATTTTCGAATATATGAAGAAACTTCAATAAATTCAGAGAAGTTTCGAAGCAACTTCTGAGAAGTTTCAAAGGAACTTCAGAAAAGTTTCGAAGGAACTTCAGAGAAGTTTCGAAAGAACTTCAGAGAAGTTTCTAAGGAACTTCACGAAGTTTCGAAGGAACTTCAGAGAAGTATCGAAGGAACTTCAGAGAAGTTTCTAACGAACTTCAGAGAAGTTTCGAAGGAACTTCAGAGAAGTATCGCAGGAACTTCAAAGAAGTTTCGACGGAACTTCAGGAAGTTTCTAAGGAACTTCAGAGACGTTCGGAGAAGTTTCGAAGGAGCTTCAGAGAAGTTTCCAAGGAATTTCAGAGTAGTTTCGAGATAAATTTAGAGAAGTTTCGAAGGAACTTCAGAGAAGATGCGAAGGAACCTCAGGGAAGTTTCGAAGGACTTCAGAGAAGTTTCGAAGGAACTTCAAATAAGATGCGAACGAACTTCTGAAAAGTTTCGAAGGAACTTCAGAGAAGTTTCTAAGGAACTTCAGAGGAGTTTCAACGGATCTTCAGAGAAATTTCAACGGCATTTCAGAGAAGTTTCAACGAAACTTCAGAAAAATTTCGAAGGAACTCTTCAGAGAAGTTTTGATAGAACTTCAGAGAAGTTTCGAAGAAATTTCAAAGAAATTTCGAAGGACTTCAGAAAAGTTTCTAAGGAATTTAAAAGAAGTTTCGAAGGAACTTCAGAGAAGTTTCGAAGGAACATCAGAGAAGTTTCAAAGGAACATCAGAGAAGTTTCGAAGAAACATCAGAGATGTTTCCACGGAACTTCAGAGAAGTTTCGAAAGAACGTCAGAGAAGTTTCGAATGAGCTTCAGAGAAGTTACTAAGGAACTTCAGAGAAGTTTCAACGGATCTTCAAAGAAGTTTCAACGGCATTTCAGAGAAGTTTCACCGAAACTTCAGAAAAGTTTCGAAGGAATTTCAAAGAAGTTTCGAAGGAACTTCAGAGAAGTTTTGAAGGAACTTCAGAGATGTTTCGACGGAACTTCAGAGAAGTTTCGAAGGAACTTCAGATAAGTTTTGAAGTAACTTCTGCGAAGTTTCGAAGGAACTTCTGAGAAGTTTTGAAGGAATTTAAGAGAAGTTTCGAAGGATCTAAGAAATTTTGAAGGAATTTAAGAGAAATTTCGAAGGAACTTCAGAGAAGTTTCGAAGGAACTTCAGATAAGTTTCGAAGTAACTTCTGCGAAGTTTCGAAGGAACTTCTGAAAAGTTTTGAAGGAATTTAAGAGAAGTTTCGAAGGATCTAAGAAATTTTGAAGGAATTTAAGAGAAATTTCGAAGGAACTTCAGAGAAGTTTCGAAGGAACTTTAGAGAAGTTTTGAAGGAACTTCAGCGAAGTTTCGAAGGAACATCAGAGAAGTTTCGAAGGAACTTCAGAGAAGTTGCGAAGGAACTTTAGAGAAGTTTTGAAGGAACTTCGGAGAAGTTTCGAAGGAACATCAGAGAAGTTTCGAAGGAATTTCAGAGAAGTTTCGAAGGAATTTGTGAGAAGTTTCAAATGAACTTCAGAGAAATTTCGAAGGAACTTCAGAGAAGTTTTGAAGGAACTTCAGAGAAGTTTTGAAGGAATTTTAGAGAAGTTTCGACGGAACTTCAAAAAACTTTCTAAGGAACTTCAGAGAAGTTTCAACGGATCTTCAGAGAAGTTCAACGGCATTTCAGAGAAGTTTCGATAGAACTTCAGAGAAGTTTCGAAGGAATTTCAAAGAAGTTTCTAAGGAACTTCAGAGAAGTTTCGAAAGAACTTCAGAGAAGTTTCATAGAAACATCAGAGAAGCTTCGAGGGAACTTCAGATATGTTCCGAGGGAACTTCAAAGAAGTTTCTAGGGAACTTCCGAGAAGTTTCGAGGGACCTTCAAGGAAGTACCAAGAGAACTTCAAAGAAGTACCAAGAGAAGAGAAATTTCGAAGGAACTTCGGGAAAGGTTCGAAGTAACTTGAAAGAAGGTTCGATGGCACTTCAGAGAAGTTTCGATGGAACTTCAGAGAAGTTTCGATGGAAATTCAGAGAAGTTTCGATGGAAATTCAGAGAAGTTTCGATGGCACTTCAGAGAAGTTTCGATGGAACTTCAGAGAAGTTTCGATGGAAATTCAGAGAAGTTTCGATGGAAATTCAGAGAAGTTTCGATGGAAATTCAGAGAAGTTTCGATGGAACTTCAGAAAAGTTTCGAAGAAAGTTCGAAGCAACTTCAGAAAAGTTTCGAAGGAAATTCAGAGAAGCTTCGAAGAAACTTCAGACAAGTTTCGAAGAAACTTCAGACAAGTTTCGAAGCAAGTTCTAATAAGTTTCAAAGGACTTCAGAGAAATTTCGACGGAACTTCCATGAAGTTTCAGCGGAACTTCAATGAAGTTTCAGCGAAACTTCAAATAAGTTTTGAGGGAACTTCAAATAAGTTGCGACTAAACTTCATAGAAGTTACGAAAGAACTTAAGAGAGGTTTCTTTATTCATTTTGGCCTACGACACCACTTTTCAGTGGTCTAGAGGTTCACTTTTCTAGGTCTAGGAGACCAAATTTCAGTGATCTAAGAGACCACTTCTCAGTGGTCTAAAAGACCATTTCGCAGCAGTATAGGAAATTAATTTTCAGTGGTCTAGAAGACCTTTATTCATTGGTCTAGGAGTCCATTTTTTAGTGGAATAGGAAACTACTATCAAATGGAGTTAATTTTTCAGTGGAATCCCTGAATCGGAACACTATCGACTTCCTGATTTGCATTTCTGTCGAAACCCAGAGTCTGAATTTTCTCCAATCCCTAATTCGGGATTCTGTCAATTCCCTGAATCGGTATTCTGTAGAAAAGCTGCTTCGGGTTTTCGTCGAAATCATGAATCGGGATTCTTTCGAATCTCTGATACTTGATTTTATCGAATCCCTGATTCGGGATTTTGTCGAAACCCTGATTCAGGATTCCGTCAAATCCCTGAATCAGGATTCTTATGAAATCCTGAATCTTCATTCAATCCCTGATTCGGGATTCTGTCAAATCCCTAATTCGAGATTCCATCGAATCCCTGATTCGAGATTCTGTCGAATCCCTGATTCGAGATTCTGTCGAATCCTTGATTCGAGATTCTGTCGAATCCCTGATTCGAGATTCTGTCAAATCCCTGATTTGGATTTATATCGACTTTCTGATTCGGGATTCCGTCGAATCCCAGATTAAAAAATCGGTCAAATCCTTGATTCGGGACACTGTCGAATGCCTGATTCGAGATTTTGTCGAATCCCTGATTTGGGATTCTGGCGAATCCCTCATTCGGATTCTGTTGAATTTGTAATTCGGGATTCTGTCGAATCCCTGATTCGGGATTTTGTCGAAACCCTGATTCGAGATTCTGTCGAATCCCTGATTCGAGATTCTGTCGAATCTCTGATTCGAGATTCTGTCGAATCCCTGATTCGAGATTCTGTCGAATACCTGATTCGAGAATCTGTCGAATCCCTGATTCGGGATTTTATCGACTTCCTGATTTGGGATTGTGTCAAATCCCTTATTCGCGATTTTGTCGAAATCCTGAATCGGGATTCCGTCGAATCCCTTATTTGGGATTCTTTCAGTTTCCTGATTCGGAATTCTTTCAAATCCCTAAATCGGGATTTCATCGAATTCCTGATTCGGGATTGCGTCGTATTTCTGATTCCGGATTCTGTTGAATTCCTGATTCAGGATTTTGTCGAAACACCGATTCGAGATTCTGTCGAATCCCTGATTCGAGATTCTGTCGAATCCCTGATTCGAGATTCTGTCGAATCCCTGATTCGAGATTCTGTCGAATCCCTGATTCGAGATTCTGTCGAATCCCTGATTCGAGATTCTGTCGAATTCCTGATTCGAGAATCTGTGGAATCCCTGATTCGGGATTGTGTCAAATCCCTTATTCGCGATTTTGTCGAAATCGAATCGGGATTCCGTCGAATCCCTGATTCGGGATTCCATCGAATTCCTGATTCGGGATTCCGTCAAATCCCTGATGCGGGATTCCGTCGAATTCCTGATTCGGGGTTCCGTCGAATTCCTGATTCGGGATGCCGCCTAATCCCTGATTCGGGATTCTATCGACTTTCTGATTCGGGATTCTTTCAATTTCCTGATTCGGGATTTCATCGAATTCCTGATTCGGGATTTCATCGAATTCCTGATTCGGGATTCTGTCGAATTCCTGATTCAGGATTTTGTTGAAACACTGATTCGATATTCTGTCAAATCCCTTATTCTCGATTTTGTCGAAATCGAATCGGGATTCCGTCGAATCCCTGATTCGGGATTCCATCGAATTCCTGATTCGGGATTCCGTTAAATCTCTGATTCAGGATTCCTTCGAATTCCTGATTCGGGATTCCATAGAATTCCTGATTTGGGATTCCGTCTAATTCTTTAGACTTCCTGATGCGGGATTCTGTCGAATCCCTCATTTGGGATTTTTTTGAATCTCTGATTCAGGATTCTGTCGAATCTCTAATCCAGGATTATTACAAAACTCTGATTATGTATTGCGTCGAGTCCCTGATTCAGGATTCTGTCGAATCTCTAATTCAGGATTATTTCAAAACCCTGATTATGTATTGCGTCGAGTCCCTGATTCAGGATTCTGTCGAATCTCTGATTCAAAATTCTGTTGAACCTCTGATTCTGAATTCTTTAAATTCTCTGAATCGGGAATATTTAAAATCCCTGATTTGGGATTCTTTCGAACCCCTAATTCGGGATTTCATCGAATCCCTGATTTGGGATTCTTTCGAATTCCTGATTTGGGATTCCGTCGAATCCCAGATTCAGAAATCGGTCGAATCCTTGATTCTATATTCTGTCGAACCCCTGATTCGAGATTCTGTCGAATCTCTGATTCGTGATTCTGTCAAATTCCTGATTCGAGAATCTGTGGAATCCCTGATTTGGGATTTTGTCAAATCCCTGATTCGGGATTATGTCAAATCCTTGATTCGGGATTTTGTCGAATTCCTAATTGGAGATTCTGCCAAATACTTAATTTGATTCGGAATTCTGTTGAATCCCTGATTTGGGACTAGAAAGCAAATCAACTTAATCGATGTTTTGACCGAGGAAAAGAGATAGGGTCTAGTAAAAAAATAATCAATTAATCTTGATATCAAACGTTGTACACATTATTGCGACATTTACACCTATTTAGACTCACTCGAATTAACGATTATCTCAGTAAAATTTCCCACATAATTGCGCTGTGTCAAATGTTCATTTCGCAATGAAGGCGTTCCAAATTGTTACCACAGACTTTTTAAAAAATCATCTGGCATCCCTGGCTAAAACTCGTCATAAGGGGGCTTAAACCGAGGCTTAAACTACAAATTCCCCCCATCAGCGATCGGTGTCCACCGAATGCCTGAATCCCAATCAACATGAATACCAAATCATCAACAATGCAAAACATCATCGTCCATAGCAACAAACAACAACCAACCGGATGTGTCATGATCTTGCGCGACTTTAAAATCTGAGCCGTCGTTCGAGTGCACTCGCCTCCTAAGGTTGTCGGGAGTTTTGATTTGGAGATTTGATGCAAAACCGATTTTGGCTGGCCTCCTTCTTCGAGTGCGAATGCAGCAGATGTTCCGGGACCGCACTTCCGAATGCAACTAGGTCAAGCGGATTCAAAGATGGTCCGAAAAAAAAAACACACGCTTCCACGAGTCCAGTTGGGGGAGCGAGGAGGAGCCGTCGAAATGGAATTGCAGATGCAGTTCTTTTTCTCTCGTTTCCTTCAGCGGCTATTCCGGGTTGCTCAACATTTGACCAGTTGGTGCAGCGTATTCAAATGATGGAAGCGATGTAGGACATTCGGATATTGACTTACAATTTTTAAGTTTGCGATTTATAGTTATAATGGGTTAAATTCCTAGAACTACCACACTAAATCGCATGACTTCTAACCACCAACAGGTTGCATTCTGAAATCATCAATCTGTTTTATTTATTTTTTTTTCGATCCCTTTCATGACTCAGTTGTTTTGTGTTCTGACAACCAAATTCGTGGAAACAAATTCACCACTACGACCGGGGGACCGCCCACCATGCAATTGTTGTTATTACTAGTCACATTAGAGAAGAAAAAATACTAAAACCCTTTGCGTGTCTATTCGTCATTCAAATACCTCACACGCCACCGGAATAACGTGGGCAAACATTCCTCGTGAATTATGAATTTGACAACGTGGCGGTCGGTGAGCGCCATTTTTAAATATTTCGGTGGAATTTTCCATTTACACATCAAGCAAACCGACCGCAGCTCGATTATCATCTGTGTTGGCCATCAAATAATAGTGTGACTCTATTCTATCGCACACACATACACATCAGTGCAAATCCCGAAAAAAAAGAATACAACCGTTCACTAGTGGTGCCACCACCATCAGTCACGACCATTATCGCTGCAATTATTGTGAACTTTTCAAATAGAGCAACTAGCGAAAACAACCAATCCGACGAAAACTAAGAAGACCTAACCTCACACCACTCGTCTATATAGCATTGTCAGCCAAGCGGTGGAGAAGAAGCGAAAAGAGTCGCGCAGTAGTCCAGTTTCGATTTTTTTTAGGACAAGCAAACGAACTTTACCAAACCGTGCCATTGCGTGCAAGCGAGATGGCCACTTTCTTCCCCCATCCTGCTCCCTCTATCGCTGATAGTGCGCTCTACATCTATAAGAAAAGATGATAATAATAGTTCGACCCAACGACGACGAAGAAACAGAAGAAAAATAGAATTCACCACCAATTTGAAACGCACCCCTCGCGTCGCTGTCACTTCTACTACCACTCGGACTTCTCACCCACTCCACCGATCTACTACTGCCCCGTTTGCCAGGCTGACTGGAATGGTCAAAGAGTGCGCGTGGAAAAAACGTCATTGACAAGAAACCGACCGCGACCATCATCAAGCTCTGCTCGATCTCCGTACATATTACCTACATACAGTGCAGTGCAGTGCTGCAAGGCGCGTTCAACATGTGATACCATCGTCGTCGAAGTCGTCTGTGAGTGTGTTCGTTGTGTGAGGTGAGTTTCGGTGAATAGACAAACCCGATCGAACGTGTGAGTGGTGAGAAGTGGAAAAGGGTTTGGCGGAATGGCGCCCGGGACGCGGTGGGGTACCGTCGAAAACTAGCCGCTGCTGCTGCACTGGGAACTTGAATTAAATATTCTCGTGCATACATATTGCATGCCTAGGAAGAAGAGAAAAAAAAAGTGAATTGCAAGTGGGTGATGCAGCCGGGGAAACAACACGGGGAGAACGTGTTTCAAGGCTATCGAAGCGTGTTCGGCAGAGAGAAGCATGTTTTTATGTGTTCTTTAAAACCGATTGGTTACCTTTCGGGTCCGGCTGACACTGACAGTAACAGTTTCGAAAGCTACTACCGCTGCGGCTGAAATCTACTACCCCATTCATCATTCACCGCATAATAATCGTGGCCCATCCGTATCAGTAGAGGCTAAGGCAGTAGGCGTGGACTTGGCTCGAATCAAATATTTGGTGATTTGACTGAAAACAGCCGAATAAATTATCCACGCCCACCGCGGAATCGGGCAGCCGGCCGCGCTGATAGGCTTGTGGAAAAAGCGAGAATAGATCAGTCAAGCGAGCCACACCAGGCACTGCCAGCGAGTGATGTGATGTGATGGTGGTGTGAGTAGAACAGTTCCAATTTTTTTTTCTAGCATTTTGATGGCCCAAAGTGACGACGCACTTGCTGGCCACTCATACATGCAATCCTCGTCGTCGTCGTCGTCGCCATCGTCGGTCGGCCCAACTCTAGAAGACGTTTGGCTGACCGTTTGGGGACGAACGACGTGATAATAATAGATGTTTGGTCGGTTTGGTGACTCTGACTGGGGAACGCAGTGGCAGTGTGCTATTAGGCAGTACGCAAAGCAACGGTTTGTACTATCAGCGGGAAGCTCAAACTATTTAAGGCAGTGTTACCAGTTGCCTAGAAAATGGAGGCAACAGACTTCAAAGACCTAACAAAGTGACTGAGAAGTAATCAGTAACTTATACCTTGGGTACTGCGGAGTTGATCGATTTCATTTTGCAAGCCAATGGAAAACTGCTTGAACATTTTCTTTAGTTTAAAATGGTTTTGCTCTTTCCGAGCCTCTTTCTCATGGTGAGTTCGTTTATTATTCACTGTCAACCTGGATCGGGTATCAAGATTGGGTCTGCTTGTTTTCTGACAAACGTCAGTTTGATCGTTTGCTTTTAAAATCACTGACAAGAAGATCGGTTTTGCACTGGGTTGGATTCCTGCCAACAGCTCAAAGTCAGGAGTGCTCGATCCAGAAGCCGAACAGCCTCTTGGCTCGCCTCGCTCAACGACACGTATTCTGATTCCATCGACATTGTGTATACGGCTTGTCCACGAAATGGCTCCTCCTGCGTGCATGAAAACAATGTCCGTCGTCAACTTTTGAGTTGTCAAGTCACCCGCCCAGACTGCATCTGGGTCAACTAGTCAACTTTCCGTCAGGATCTCCGTACTTCAACTACCACTTCTTCGTACTTTTCAGGTAGCGAACTACACGTTTAGCCACTATCCAATCGGCTGCCATTGGGGCACACACGCATCTCCCCAAACTGGACACACTATAGCAGCGATCCCAAGTAACAATCTAAATGCTTGGAAGATTTATTCTTATTTTATCATTGTTTTATCATAGCATCCCTTCCAGCCTGTGGTTGTATTAAGGTTTTGTGTGCTTGTCATAAAATCAGGCCGTCAAGTCGTCTATAAAACTGTTTTATGACTACTAAATTAAAACTCAGACTTCATAGTTTTAACGGTAGCTGTAAGGTGGTTCTGCATCACTACTTATAACTGAAGAATAAAACCAAAACAAAACATACAATTATGTTTTATGGTACACTTTTTATGACCGATATAAAACTTGAAGCAGTCTTAGACTTTCATTAAAGCTTCATTACAACTATCATCTTTATCAGAGGCCTAAGATTCACAGATAAGAAATGTACTGCTACAACAAAAAATACTCTGAAATTTTTTGTCATTATAAAAAACAAATCTATTCAGATATATGAAATGGAAACCCCTTCAGTGCTTCTGAACACGATGAAGATGAGACGATCGACAATATGAAACTCCTGGAGGAACTACAGTTATACGATCCCTACATAAGGCACAGTGCGGTGAAGGAGCTCTTAAAAATATTGAACAAGCGGCTTTCCGATACACTTCCGAAAGATCCACGAACCCTTCTTAAAGCAACGCCGACAGTTTCA